AGAGGAGACACAGTCTTTGACAAGTCAAAAAAAAAAAAAAAAAAAAAAGCTCTGCTTTCAGCCGTCTACCTGCCCCGGTGGTTTGACAGTTCTTAAATAGGTAATGGACAGGGCCACCCGGGGACATCACGCATGTGACCCCTACCTCATGTGACATCAACTGCTGAGTGGAAGGGGTTGTCCTAACAACTTGGGAGTCCTTACCTGAAGGTGGAAGCATGTAACATTAGTTAAGACTTAAAGGGGCTTGAGTTCTGTACTTCTCTTTACCCGTTTACCATGCTTTTTGAAGCTGCAAGATTAACTTAAGTCACATGGCTAATTATCTATAATTTGTGTGTGTGGGTTTCTTCACAGCCACATATTTCAAATTAGTTGCACCTTAGACACTGCAGATGTTTCCATATGTGCAGAAATCTGTGCATCTACAAGTGTTGGCTGAATGCCCATATGAGCCTTGAGAGGCTGTTTTTGAGAATGCTTGTTTGATCACTTCTTGAAAAAGGCATCAAGAAGATCAGGGGGGTTAGGATACTCTCCTTACCCTGAAAGAGGGCTCACGCTTCTATCAGTAGGTTTTCCACTCTGGCTTTTATCGGTCTCTGGCGTCCAAGACTTAAAATATTGTTCTGTAAGACATGGCTTTCCAAACCAGCCAAGTTAGGTGCCAGGGCCTATTCCCAGTTACAGGGTGCCCCATGTTGAGGGGTGAAACTAATGGCTGCTGTGCAGCAGCAGGTTTTGTCACTGGGTTGTCACCCAGTTCTGGCAGCGAGGATGCTTTCAAAGGTTTTATTCAAACCTCTTATGGTCCTGAAGCCCAATGGGGATGTCTATCAAAATCTGGACTTGTTCTTGTGGGTACAACTATTGTAGAGAATGCAATGATGGTCACTGCCTCCCTTCTGGGGGTTTTCCTGTCCTCTGTAGAAATGAAGAATGCCTGCCTACTCATTCTCTTTTCCTCAGCTCCATATTATCTGCATTTTCGGTGGGTGACCAGGACTTTCAATTTGTCACTCTTCCTTTTCTTGCCTGTTCCCTTGAGTTTTGAAGGTGTTTTTCAGTGTTTGCTCAGCTCTGCTTTTAAGGGGGTTCAAGTTATGAAGTATCTGGGTGAAAGGATCAGTCTGTCCTTGAGACCATATTTGCCAAACCATGCCAACTACTGTTGTTTGGATCCACAATTTGAGCCTTATTCTACACATGGCACTGTCCAGAACATTCTCGCCCTGGGAAATACTTCCATTCCTCTGTGCTCTCGTCTGGGATCTTGGAGCCAGAAGGATGCTCTGCTCATGCCTGCATGAGGATGCTGGATCTCTCGGTTGCCTTCTTCGAAGTAATACTGTATGACCATTTTTATTCCAGACCAATGCAATTCCAACATCTGGCAGGGTGGAGCAAGTTGGGCGGCACAGCGGCTTAATGGTTAGCACGTCTGCCTTGCAGTAAATGGGTCATGAGTTTGATTCCCGACCATGGCGCCTCCTGCATGGAGCTTGCATGTTCTCCCTGTGCTTGCGTGGGTTTCCTCCGGGTGCTCCGGTTTTCTCCCACACTCCAAAGACATGCTGGTAGGTTAATTGGATCCTGTCTAAATTGGCCCTAATATGTGTATGTATGAATGTGAGTTAGGGACCTTAGATTGTACACCCCTTGAGGGTTAGGGACTGATGTGAATGTTCAATATATATGTGTAAAGGGCTGTGTAAATTGACAGCCCTTTAATACCTGAAATAAATAAGTGTCCTTGGAGCATCCTATGCATCTGACTCCCAGTGCCAAACTCTCCTTAGCATGGTGAATTTACAACACAGCATTGAAGTTAGGGAAGCCTTTTTCTCTGTATCCTGGAAGGCTCTCATGACCAATGCCAGGGCTAAGAGATGGTCCTGTACACACTCGAAGTGTTGTGGACATGGTTGGTGGAGGGTCCCCTTCCCCTAGGGTCCCAGGCAAAGTGGTTATACTTCCATTGTTAGATTCCTTTCCTGCAAAGTCATTCAACAAATCTAGTTGACAATACCATAGCCATGGCCCAAAAGGAAGCTAATCTACTCCTCTTGTACATAACGTCATGTTCCAGCTCTGTTCACATTCCTGATGTGGAAACATTGGTAAGGTAATTTTCGCAGTCTTCAGCATGTGGGTCTGGAGATATGGCCCTCCATCCGGAGGCATTTTAAGCCCTTTACTGTTGGTGAGGGACACCGGATGTGGATCCCAGATTGTCCTGGTTCAACCACAAACTGGACAGGTTTGTCACCAGGAACAGGAACCCTCACTGGCATTCTTGGTAGATGTCTGACTCCTTGGTATCAGTTTAGTCCTGATCTATGCAGTTCTGCTGCCCTAAAATACTCCTCTGCTTTGTAGGGTTGAGAAAGAGGTTGTCCCGGTGACCAAAGCAAACCAAAGTGGTCCCAGGAGAACTTGATTCTGACATTCTCAGACTATAGCAGATGCTCTGTGGGTACATCCAGGGCATCCAGATCTCCTCCCATCCCAAGGATTAGTGTTTCCATCCTCTTCTCCATCACTGGCTTTGACAGCATGCCTGTTGCAGCCATGGTCTTGAGTGGCAGGGGGCTCTCAGGATCTTTCATCCCTACCCTTTTTGAAGGCTAGGAAGTTTTTCTCGGGTTTCTCATCACACCTGTAAGCCATGCTCTTGTGAAGCAAGGACTTTCATCTTAGGAACTACTCCATGAGCCATATTCTGTTTTTCCTCCAGTCAGGGCTGGATCAGCACCTAGCCTTGCAGTACTATCAAGGGAAAAATTTCAGCCTGGATGTTCTATTTCAGTAACATTTTGGCTACTTTCTCATGAAAGCTTTTGTTCAGGATGTAGCTCGCATTACTATCCTTGGGAACTCACCCTTGCTACATAATTCAGTTGTAAAGCCGCAGGTGTGCGTGTGTCACATCAGATCTCAATGGGAAAAAAAGATCATGCTGGATATCTATACTGATATGGACTGGGTAACGTGTTAGAAATGTAAGGATGCCTCATTGTTTGATGAAAATAATCACCCTACAGAGGACTGAATTCAAAGACTCCCCGAAAATCAAAGTGAAAAAAATTATGCAGCAGGCTAGTCCATTTTGTTGAAATCTCATCTGAAAATAGTACTTGGTAATTTGTATGGCCCCCACATGCTTGTATGCATGCCTGACCACATCAGGGCATGCTCCTAATGAGACGGATGGTGTCCTGGGGTATTTCCTCCGAGATCTGGACCAGGGCATTACTGAGCTCCTGGACAGTCTGGGGTGCACTGGTGTCAGATGGACCGAAACATGATATCCCAGAGGTGTTCTATTGCATTTAGGGCAGGCGAGCATGGGGGCCCTTCAATGTGGTATCAATTCCTTCATCCTCTGGGAACTGCCTGCATACTCGCGCCTTGAGGGTGGGCATTGTTGTGCACCAGGAGGAACCCAGGACCCACTGCACCAGCGTAGGGTTTGACAATGGTCCAAGGATTTCATCCTGATACCTAATGGCAGTCAGGGTGCCATTGTCTAGCCTGTTGAGGTCTCTGCATCCCTCCCAATATGCCTCCCCAGACCATCACTGTCCCACCACCAAAATGGTCATGCTGAATAATGTTGCAGGCAGCATAATGTTCTCCGCAACAATGTTCTGGTGTTCAAAGGCAAATGCTAATCAAGCTCTATGGTGCCAGGCAGTGAGCACAGGGCCCACTAGAGGATGTTGTTGGTTTTACATAGTCTCCACAATGGGGACACATACAGCATAGCAGTAATCCCAACACAATCCAATCAAATTACAATTTTTGGCTGGAGTTCTGCTTTCTTTTAACAATTAACATTGCACACAGCTCATATTTTGAGGCGCCTCTTGTGTATGCTATGGTTTTGACATGTCCCTCTCCACATACACCAATTTATTTCTAGATTAGGCTGCTGTTGATTAAATCTGGTATGGCAGTGTAGATATACTGTAGATTCAGTGCTGCTCTGAACAGTTTGTTTTATTTTGTCAGATCCCTGCATATGAGCCACACATCGCAATGCCATCTGCCAGCTCTTAAATCACTACAGGTCACTGTGATGACATTGGGGCTGGCAGAGGAGGCGATGACCCAGGCATCCAAAACACCTGGACGTGTTAAGGCTCATGTACACTGCAGCTGCTAAACTGACTTTCAGGAGCTGTTCAGCGGTTTTTTTCAGCAGCCCCTGAACTCTCCCTAATTTTTTCATGTGTCCATGTACACAATAGTTTACAGGCCGTTAAGTTTTAGTGTTTTTTTTTTTTTTTTTTTTTTTTTTTTTTTTTTTTTTCCATATCCAGATGCTGTCCAGAGCCTTTTCATCATCAGAAATGCATGCAAAGCATTTTCCATGTATTCAAATAGACCCGGTACACCAGCAAAGTCAGTTCCAGGTTTCAGGTGAAGCAAAAAATGGTAGAAAGTGCTGCATTATGCTCATGATGGGATCCATAGTGAACACAACCAGAAAAGACAGGTCATCTCAACACATACTGCTCTCTGCTTCTGCTCTCTTCCTCTCAAAATGTCTGAAAGTTAATTTTTTACGATTTTTCAGTGCATTCTGGGCATTTGGGAAGGGCTCCTGAGGTTCTTTTTTTTTTTTTTTTTTTTTTTTTTTTAAAACTCTTCTAAACGCAAACGCGACTAAAGTGACATTTTTTTTACCTATGTTTTTTCCAGCAGTCAGTTTCCAGCATTCAGAAGAGTTTTGCAAACGCCCTGTGTACATGAGCCCTTAAATGCTAAAAAGTTTGCGATCTATAAAGTTCTTGAAGACAGCAAAGTTTATCTCCCAGACCTCCCTCCCTAATCTACCTCTCACCCCTCAAGCAACAGTTGCTTTGATTGGTAATTTTCCTTTTATCCTAAATTGATTTTGCATTCAACTAGTAAAAATGGAGTAGTTTGGTCAGCAAAATGTATCTGGTCATATACGTTATGTTTTTTTTATAATAACGCTTTTATATTTGCAGGCTGGGTTGGAGAAGATCCTCCACTTGGGACAGAAATCTTTATTAACAATCTCCCTCAAGAAATCTATGAAGATAAAATAATTCCCCTTTTTCAGACTGCTGGAGCATTGTACGAGTTTCGTCTTATGATGACTTTTAGTGGACTTAATCGAGGGTTTGGCTTTGCCCGATATACCAAAGTGCACCATGCAGAGCTAGCAGTCTCCATGTTTCATGGATATGAGATTCTACCTGGCTGCAAGATTGGTGTCTGCAAAAGCATTGAAAAATGTCACCTGGAGCTGGATGGCCTGCCATGTGTCCTGGACAAAGTCACCCTTGCCAAGGTCCTGAGGGAAATGACCGCTGACCTGGAGAAAGTTTCTCTTTTTGCTAGTCAAAACGTGGAAATGAAAAATCTTGCCATCTTGAAATACAGTTCCCACAGAGCTGCCACCATGGCAAAAAGAATCCTGTGTAAGGATTTTTTTTTTTTTTTTTTTCTTTAGATGCAATCCATCTATGGGCAGGCTGGTTGTGCCCAAGTCGATCTATCAATTGACTTGGGTACAGCCAGCCTGTTAATTAATTTTTTTTTTTTTTTTTTTTTTTTTTTTTACATGCAATTACTGCTGCTGGCTATAGCTACTAGCAGTAATAGTGTTCTACTGGCAGGGAAGGTTCCCGTCAGCAGAATGCAATAGCGTTGTGGGAGGGTTTCCTATGTATTAGAGAAGTTCAGATTAAACAAAGAATTTTTAGCTTTCCTAAAAACTTTCAATTGGGGACATGGTCTAATCAATATTTAAATTTTTAAGGCTTTACCAGTCAACCACAATCCTGCTCTTTAAGCAGTACAGTTGATTGAAGCCCTGGACAGAGGGTGTGAGACCACTAGAGACTGTAAACTGAGGTTCTGCTATATTAACCCTTGCTGATGCTGCCAACAATATTAAAGAATAAAAGTCCATATCCATTGTAGCCTGACTGTATAAAGTTGCATCATTGGTGGGAGTCTTGTGGCTTGGATATAGCGCTGTGGGTGGCAAAGCAACAGCAGGATCACTGAAGGGTAGCACAGTAGCAAGTGCATTTTTACCTAAGTTTGCTGTGCATAATTACACATTATGTCAGGAGCTTAAAGTAGAACTGTACCAGTTTTGGGTCAGGTTTGTTAATATTTTTTTTTTTTTTTTATACAATCTCACTGCATTGTATGAAAAGCTTCCTAAAACTCCACCTGCTGAGTGGTTAGATCACATCATGTAATATTTCATAGTTACCTGGCTTGGTTTTTTTAATTGAGCATTTCTAAAAGAAAATATGCATAACACCACTATACATTCCCTTTAACATGGCCAAAATGTGTAATTTCGACACTTTTGTTGCAATGTTTGCTGACTTCAGTTTTAATTTCTTTGCAGGTTCCCATTCACTTTTTGGTTATCGCTTCCAGGTGAAATGGATGAAGAACTCCATAAAGAAAAAACTGTACTTCAGGGCTCTTCTAAAGCCTCATTCCAGTGTCCCTCAAATGAGCTTAAATGTGGAACCTGCACCCAGTGGTGTGGAATGTCTTCGCCTCATCTGTGACCATCTCGGCCTGGGTCAGCCAGTATACCATGTCAAGTTCCTTAGACTTGGCTCATGTGGATGGTTGCGGTTTTGGTATCATGTAATCATACCAAACTATTGTGATCCATTTACTGGATATGCCTGGTTGATTGGTGACCAACTCATTCCCACTGACAAGTATGAGCAATCAAAAGAAATTGCAGCATTAAGGATACTGGCAAAACTAGGTGAGTGGGTAGGTGAAAACCCAAAAAACACATAAAAAGAATAGTGTTTTTTGATTATATAGCCGATAAAAATGTTTTAGGTTTTCATCTTTCTGCCCTACCTAAAAGCAAACACATTATATTGGAGCTTAGCAATTTTTAGATGTGGTATGTGCATTCATTTTCTTTAAGTGATCCAGCCAGTAAATCTGTCAAAAGAACAAGCTTTTACAGTTACAGGGATGAGACAAACAATTTAACAGTGATGTGGTGCTTACAATGATCAGCTTTTTATGTAAATCTTGATCCCAAAAAAGAAACAAAAATTGCTGTAGCTGCTTAAGTGTGAGCTGAAGTTTAGCTTCAATGTAACTAAATCTGCTAGTCCATCTAACACTCCCCTCTCGACTAACGAGGCTTCTTGCCAAACATGTCCCTATGCTCCTTCAACCAGAGTGGCGGCATTCTAAACAAGAGATTTTACTGGCCAGATCACCAGAGGGGAAAAGCCTGCAAAAGAAAACTAATGTAGCCACCACGATCTAAATATGAGCTGCAATATTTAAAATTTTTGGGTTTGCCACTTTAGGAATGAAATGAAAACCCTTAATACATAACTTTTTTCCAAAAGTGTTCTCAGTCTCGTCACATGACGTATAGGGCCTCAACATCGACATCATCTGTGTTTGCAGATGCAACCATTACTATGAATTCTATAATTCAGATTTTAGTTGGGCGGTAAAATGTTGGGGAAAATGCTATTTCCAGTAATTTTACAAGAAAGCATAACCCAGGTTACTCATAAAAGCCAATGTTTTCATACAGCAAGACTAAAATGGCTGTATGTTATGGAAAAAGTATAATATTGGGATGTATCTGGGCTACACACCAGTGGTTCTGGATGCACAGTTGACCAATGGGTGAAAAGGAATGATTTTGTATGGCTCTACCCACTAAAGGTATAATCCCTTATTTTAAAGATGGGTGAAAGAATAAGACATGGGAATACCTTCTGTTCTAAGAACTTTACTGTGCTACACTTCAGTAATTTTGCCCAACACTGTTACTGGCTCAACCAAAGATATATTCACCTTGAAATACAAACCTCAAGTGTTAGGATACCCAGTAAGTGTTATCTTTTTGGTGGTGCTTTTTTTTTTTTTTTTTTTTTTTTTTGGACATTATTTATATATATATATATATATATATATATATATATATATATATATATATATATACATGAGTGAACAGAAATGTTTGCGTGAATGGTTGAATGTATCCCCACAACAAAAATTAGCTGGATTCCTGCATATGGGATTGGGTTGACTGCATTATATTTTACAGGCTTGTGATCACACAAATACAGCACTGAACAACATTGCACATGCTTGCATAAGGATCAAATGTTGATGCAATAAGCACAAATGTTATGCAGCCCATCCTATGTCTTGGCAGTATTAAAGACAGTCACAATTAAGCCCAAGCAAGAATCTTTACAAATATTTTGGAATACACGTTCAGGTTTACATGAGAAATTTGGTATTTGCCAGTTTAGCTTAACTCCTTCACGCTGGCCGCATGCAAATGTGCGGCCTCCCGGCGTCTGGGCCTAGACGCCGAGTGGCCACACATGTGCGTTCATGTAAGAAAAAAACATATGTGCTGAGAGCACGCACCTTGCGCGCTCCCAGCACACATGTGAGGTACTCACGTAAAGGTCCCGGTCCGCTCTTTCGATCGGGACCTTTCCCGATCATGTGACGCGACGTCACGGCGGCCACATGACACAAAGCCCCGTCCCTCCTGGCGCAGGAGGAACGCTTCACGCCGGGACTATCCGGCGTGAAGGGGTTAATAGATTCTAAGTGCTACAGTTTTAGCAAATCTCCCCCAGAGTGCTCTGGATTGAAACAAGTATACAATATGGGATATGCTTTGTTCACATTACATCCCAGAGGTTTTCAACCACGTAAAGATGAATCAAAAATAGTTTGATGCAATTCAAAATTCTGCACAGAATCTACCTTACCCCCTGCATGACTGCACAGGATATACTCTACTATCCCTGCTGATTGTTAGTGTGCGGCAGCCTCGGTGAACTTTATCCACATTTTGTTACCTCCTTATTCAAGTTTTCTGGACATGCGTCACAGCCTTTGTTGCCTCTGAGTACTATAAAAGTACCACTGATGGATGTGTGTGCGCTGAGGCTGGTGGATACTCTGGTGTTTCAAAGGGCTTCCAGGCTTATTACGGTTTTACGCAAGGAAAGCAATTGTACTCAAATGGAAATCTTCCGCTCACTCAACGTTTGGAAACTGTTAACATGGCTTCCCACTCTGTATGGTTATCCATTTATCTAGACCAGGGGTCCTCAAACTTTTTAAACGGGGCCACTCAGACCGTTGGAGGGCTGGACTATAGTTTTAAAAAAAAAAAAAACTATGAACAAATGCGGACACAGTACAGGAGATGACCAGAGACTGCGGACATACATCGGCAGCGGGAATACTGGGCCGGCCGCTCCATAAGACAGACATTTCCCCCCAAGTGTGTCTTATGGAGCGAAATAGTGCCCCATCATTGGTGTCAGTGGGAGGAATAGTGCCCCATCATTGGTGTCAGTGGGAGGAATCGTGCCCCATCATTGGTGTCAGTGGGAGGAATCGTGCCCCATGATTGGTATCAGTGGGAGGAATAGTGCCCCATCATTGGTGTCAGTGGGAGGAATCGTGCCCCATCATTAGTGTCAGTGGGAAGAAAGTGCCCAATCATTGGTGTCAGTTTGAGGAATAGTGCCCCATCATTGGTGTCGGTGGGAGGAATAGTGCCCCATCATTTGTGTCGGTGGGAAGAATCGTTTGCCCCATCAATGGTGTCAGTGGGAGAAATAGTACCCCATCATTGGTGTCAGTTCGAGGAGGAATAGTGCCCCATCATTAGTGTCAGTGGGGGGGAGGAATAGTGCCCCATTTGGTGTTGGTGTCCCCAGTGGGGGGAGGAATAGTGCCCCATCGTTGGTGTCAGTGTGTGTGGGGGGGGGGGAGGAATAGTACCCTCATTGTCAGTGGGGGAAGGGGCCCCCATATTGTGTCTGTGGGGGGAATAGTGCCCCATCATTGGTGTCTGTGGGGGGGCCCCATCATAGTGCCCCGTGCCCCATCATTGGTGTCTGTGGGGGGGAATAGTGCCCCATCATTGGTGTCTGTGGGGGGAGGAATAGTGCCCCATCATTGGTGTCTGTGGGGGGGAATAGTGCCCCATCATTGGTGTCTGTGGGGGGGGGGGGGGGGGGAATAGTACCCTGTCAGTGGGGGAAGGGGATAGTGTCCCATCATTGGTGTCTGTGGGGGGGGGATAGTGCCCCATCATTGGTGTCTGTGGGGAGGAGTAGTGGGGGAAGGGGATAGTGTCCCATTGTTGGTGTCAACAGTAAGAGGAATAGTACGTCATTGTGTCAATGGAGGGGAATAGTGCCCCGTTATTAGTGTCAGTGGGGGGGAGGAATAGCGCCCCATCGTTGGTGTCAGTGGGGGGAGGAATAGCGCCCCATCGTTGGTATTGGTGACACCAATGATGGGGCACTATTCCTCCCACTGACACCAATGACACGCAACTTGCTGACCCCTGCTCCAGCCTAGGTGCTACTGCAGCCAGCATACCTGGTTGCAGCAGCACCATAAGCACGGCACACTTACCTGTCAGCTGTCCTTCACTCCAGCCTCACT